CTAGCTCATCTTGTAGAGAATTGAATTCTCTACAATCTCCTTTATTGCAAGTAGAGAGAATCGATTTGCATATGGGTGACAAGTTCCAAACAATGCGATCCGTCTTCCATGAAAATGCAAAATATTTTCAAAAAAATATTTTTTCAAAAAAAACTGTCGATTACCCGGAGGTCGGGCCTAGCTCATCTTGTAGAGAATTGAATTCTGTACAAACTCCTTTATTGCAAATAAATAGAATCCATTTCCATCTGCGTGAGAAATTTCAAAGAATGGGATTCGTCACCGATGAAAATGCAAAAAATTTTCAAAAAAATATTCTTTTGAAAAAAAAGTATCCGTTGCCCGGAGATCGGGTCTAGGTCATCTTGTAGAGAATTGAATTCTCTACGAACTCCTTTATTGCAAATAAATAGAATCGATTTGCATATGGGTGGAAAATTCCAAACAATGGGGATCCATCACCCATGGAAATGCAAAAAATTTTGCAAAAAATATTTTTTTAAAAAAGAACTATCCATTGCCCGGAGGTCGGGTCTGGCTCATCTTGTAGAGAATTAAATTCTCTACAAACTCCTCTATTGCAAATAAATAGAACCCATTTCCATCTGCGTGAGAAATTTCAAAGAATTGGATTCGTCACCCGTCAAAATGGAAAAAATTTTGACAAAAATATTTTTTTGAAAAAAAAGTATCCGTTGCCCGGAGATCGGGTCGAGGTCATCTTGTAGAGAATTGAATTCTCTACAAAGTCGTCTATAGGGTGTAGTGTTAATCGATTTCCATGTGGGTGAGAAATTCCAAACCATTGGGATCCGTCACCCATGAAAATGGAAAATAATTTTGAAAAAAGTATTTTTTCGAAAAAAATTATCCGTTGCCCGGAGTGCAGGGCTAGCTCATCTTGTAGAGAATTGAATCCTCTGGAAATGTCCGGTTGCTAAGGAAATTTTCCGTGGTAATTTATGGAATAGCTGTTGTAAATTATGCTCGAGCGCGGATTGGTGGAATGGAAGATCGGTCCTGATTGGTCGTCGTGCTAGCTTCACATCGATCTCCAGTTCTTATGAGACGGACCGCCAGGCGGGCGCCCGGCGGCCGCTCCGCTCCGCGCTCTGTCGAATAAAAAGGCTTGGGCGGCCGCGCCGCTCCGCGTCTCGTTGAAAATACATGCATTGACGGCCGCACCGCTCCGCGCCTCGATGAAAAGATAGCACAGGCGGTCGCTCCGCCTCCACCCAAAGAGCTTCCTGGCGGTGGCCGCGTCCGCCATGATTTTGAGACTTCTGTGTTCCTTCCGCGCCGCCTCCGTCTCATCTTTTAGGCGCGGTGCACATCTCTGATATTTACACTTTTTCAAAACTAAACATAATTCTAAATTCGTCTTCGGCATAGATAGTTTAATGAGCCTTATTGCTAATTCACTTGTTGGTCACGAATATGTATAAAAAGTGGTCATAGTACTTGTTTGTTGCGAAGCACGATCTCTTTTCTTTTATCTATCTTTCTCAATCGTCTTGCTAGCATAAGAGTTGTTCGGTTATCACATTCTCTATTCATCCGCTTTTTTTGTTTTCATCTCTTGAATTATTTTTCTTTTCTTCTCTTCTTCTTCTTCTTATGTGGAGAAATCGTTAGCACTGAAAATAGTGAGAGAGTACACTTTTATTTCTTTTTTTTTTATCCTCTTAATAAAGCAGAGTAAATAAAGAATTCAACCATTAATAGAATTTTAAATAAATCACAGCTTAGTGTATCATAGATATTTTTTGTATGGAAAACAACCAACATTTATTAATAGAAATTTTCATAATAATGGCGTGTATGATACGAAGTACTGAGGAAAATAGCAATCATCCTTTGATTGATAAAAGTTTGTTTCAAAAAGATATTATCGTTACAAGTTAAGAATGGAATAAGAACGAAGAATCATAAGACAGTTTCGATGATTTTCGATAAAAGAAAATGAATGTAGAAAGCACTCGGTATCTGTTAGATGATTAATCACATAATTTGATTATTAATAAAAGCTCACGATATAAAGAATGTTTCATCAGTTGCAACTCAATATCTATTCTTCACTATATTTTCGTATTATTTCGGACAAGCAGCCGTTAAAGGTATGCATTTAAAGAGTAACAATTAACCTATTATCCAAAAGAAATTTCACTCAAGATGGATCTATAGTAAGAAGATGCTTTATTACTAAACATATTTTAAAAATTAATCGGGTTTATTTTTTACTCTTTGTTGATTAAGATTTGGAAGAATAGCAGTCAATCAGTCACTAACTCACTGCAAGTCACTTATGTCGTTTCGTTGTTAATGAGTTTAATGCTGAACTAATTTTAGTCGTGTGTTGATGAACAAAATAAATTCGTTAAATTATCTTTGCTAGATATGCTACTAGGTTGTCTCAAAAGTTCGTGCAACTACTCTTCTACCACATGCGGGAAATATATAGTTTCCACCATTGTGTAGAGTGTCCATATTTAGGACAGTACACCGCTTTTCACCTAACTGCTTCATTACCTTCTTGAGAAGAAAAAAGAGTTTTCACAGCCGTGTCTGCTCACACTTCTGATATTGCACTTCGAATCCACTCGTCAATGACATACTTGTTTTACAAAATCGAGATACGCTATTTTGTACATCTCATCGAAGACTATAAGATGTACTATTTAGTTTTGAATTTGGAGTGAGTTAAGATGCCAAAGATAGCTGTTTGGCAAGGATGCATCTTCAAGTCATGAAAATTTTACTAGTAAAATATGCATTTTTCTTCGAAATTTTTGCATATTTCTTGGAAATCTCGCTCGATCGCTCTGAGAATTCAACCACAGAGAGAGTTTTGACTGCTCTTTCTACTGACAGTCTCTGAATTCCAAAATTCTTTAATCATGCACGGAAAGTTTTCTAGAGATCCTCTGAAAAACCCGAGGATTTTGAACGAACATTTTTTAATTTTAATTACCACAGATTGTAACCCATATGAAATTGTATCTACCCTAAAATTCTCATCTTTCAGCGCCTTCTGGTTAATGAAATACAGAAGTACCCAATCAGCATCGCCACCATCACATGTGAAAAAAAGGTGACCCTGGTCGTGAAAACTCCTTTCTTTTCCTAAGAAGGCAATGAAGTAATTAAGTGAAAATTGGTATGCCATCCTAAATATGGGCGCTCTACACAATAGTGGAAACCATATGTTTCACGCTTGTAGTAGAAGGGTAGTTGCCACGACTTTTGGGACAACCTAATATATTACAGATCACATTGTTTCACTAAAACTATCGTGATGATGGTCAGATCAATAAACTTCTCATTCGTTGTATCAGTTAGTTGATTAATATCAAGTCAAGTTCTCTAGAAAATAGATACAATTCATAATGTGAATATAAAAACCAATGACTTAATATTTATATTGTGAATGTTGTTATCAGGAACATTGGTATAATGATGAATAACTCAGAATTTGTAATAATAAACAGGTGAAAAATAGTATTATTAACAATTAATACGATGATACCATCTATTGAAATTCGATTGCGAGAAGCTATACTCAATGATGAAGAACATAAAAATATGAAATAAAATTTTCATACGATATTTTTCCAAGTATATCGAGTAAATAATTCTTGTTAGAAATTTTTTTTTGTCCTTCAAAAAGAGATCGCTGTTATTTAAAATAACTTATTTAGACGACAAAAATTATCGATAAAATTTCTTTTACTATTTCTACACTTTCTTCAAAAAAAAGTAGTTACTATTTTTAACATAAAAGACTATGAAGTCAGTAAATGAGTTGCACTCTATTAATAAACAAATTCTTTTTTTTTCTTAAGGAAAATATCATGACTATACGCACCAAATTTTTTTCGATTTCTACAACACAGACACCTATTTTAAAGAAACTATATGCCTATATATCATGCATTAAAGTAAGAGTTAATGTGCGCTATTTTACACATACATCACATGAATGAACGAACGAGGTAAGATTGTTCAAAATGCAAATAAATTCATGTTTTATATTGAAAAAAATATTATTATTACGTCAATTAAAAATATATGTTCTGACTTAATTGCTTTTCTTTTTTTTTTATTTACAATAATTTTTTATATAGTAATTTACACTTGTTGAATGAAAATAATTTATGCATAAAAAATTCATCATAACCTATATAAAGTATTTCGATAAATATTTTCTAAATAACTATCTCATTTACATGAATAAAAGTATAAAAGAAAAATGAATAGGAAATTTCATTTCTTCATCATATGTCCCTACAAGCTCTATAAAATAATACACATCGTATTGAAAACTGAGATTTGTCTTATTTCCATTGACAAAAGTCAGCGGTTTTGTTTTTTTATGAATAAAATGTCAATTTTTAAATAAATCCTTTTCTTTTGTTTTACTCAAGGACATATCTATTCCATACTGATAAAGACGAGTTCATTATCAGATTGTTGTTCAAACAACGAAAGAAAAAAGAAAAGAAAGAAAAACATGGAAGCATTATTAGATTATGTCTTACGACGAAAACGTATTGAATCAAAAACAGATTAATTAACGTTAACATCATCAATTAATAATGTCTATGAATATGCATCACACGACTGGGAAAATATACGAAATATTTTTGAAAAAAATTTAATTGATGGACTTGATATTGGTGCAAGTTTACAGTGTCCGACACGGGTCACTTTTTTCGTGACCCAACCGACCCGAGCTCGGGAAAATTCGACCCGATCCGATCCGAGATAAGGGATAGTTTTTGGCCAATCAAAGCGAGTTTTTTTACAGATATTGACAATTTTCTGAGTAAATTGATACATATTTTCTCGATATTCAAAATAAAGAAATCATTATCTACTCTAAAATCGTTGCGTTTCTTATGTAAAGTTCGGAATTTGTAAACTTTTTGTGACTCGATCCCACCCGACCCAAGCCTAAAAAATTTTTTTCTGACCCGACCCGGCCTGACCCGAGCTCAAGTATGTTTTTCGTGACCCGACCCGTTTCGAACACTGTAAGTTTATGTATTTATTATAAAGGAAAATGTGTTGTTGATTTATATGGTGGTTGGAAAGATTTACAAAGAAAAGAACCATATACATCTGATACATTACAATTAGTTTTTTCAGTATCAAAAGGAATTTTATCAGCAGCTATAGCTTTATGTGTTGAAAGAGGTTGGCTTGATTATGATCAACCTGTTACAACATATTAGCCAGAAGTTGGTATTAAAGAAAAAGAGGTAGAAGATCTTTAATTAATAAAAACAGAATTATAATTATTCTTTTTTTTTTAAACGATATTATTATAGGTGATTTATTATCACATCGTGCTGGTTTACCATATATTAATCAAACTCTTACAGTTGATGATGTATGTGATTGGTCTAAAATGATTTCTTTATTAATTAATGAAAAGCCTCATTGGAAACCTGGTACAACACATGGATATCATGGTCATACGATTGGATATATTGCTGGAGAATTAATTCATCGTGTTGATCCTCAACATCGTTCATATGGACAATTTGTTTGTGATGAATTAGATCATGATTATTATGTTGGTATAACAAATAATGAAATCGATGCACATATCGCTCCATTATTTGAAAAACAGGTATCCAGGAAACAAAAATAAATTTGAAAATATTAAGAATTAAAATATTTTAGGTCGATAGAAACACAGTCGATCCAAAATTCATAGATTCAGCAGCTGACAAAACTTTAACATTTAATGGTGCTTTACCTTTAGAACAATCTCAAATGATCTATAATGAATCGAAAATTCATCGTGCAGAATTACCAGCTGTTAATGGTATTACAAATGCTCGATCTTTAGCTAAAATTTAGTTTACTTATTGGTGATGTTCATGGAAATATTTTAAAATGTCTTTTAAGTAAAAAAACATTATCAGAAGCAATAAAAAATTCAACACCAATTGGTGAATTAGATCAAACTTTATATAAAATGCCAACAACTTTTAGCAAAGGCGGTTTTCAAATATATGGAGATAGTTTTCATATATTTGGTGATGGAGTTTTTGGTCATACTGGTAAATATAGATTTAGCTAGATCATCTGTTTTTTCTTTCTAATATATTTTTGAACGCTTATATCAGCTGTCTTGAGGCTATGAAGTTAATGCAAGGGGGAAACGGCGGACTTGAAGTAGAAAAGTACGTCGAAGTACGTGAAAGTAGACTACTTGAAGTAGCTCAAAGTACCACCCAAGTAGTCCAAAGTAGGAACAAGTAGCTTAAAGTAACTTCAAGTAACTTCAGGTAAATTTGAAGTTGAAAAGTACTTCAAAGTAAGCTACTTCAAGTAGCTGAAAGTAACTTGAAGTAGCTTAAAGTAGCTCAAAGTAACTTCAAGTCCAAAAGTCCGCCGTTTCCCCCTTGAGTTAATGACTAAGATAATTAAAAAAACAACATAGCCACAAAAAATAATTCATTCGAGAAGAACATATATGTTGATTTTATTCTGATAGAAAATATTTTTTTCTTCTATATATTTATTATAGGGTATGGTGGTAGTTGTGCATTTGCTTATCCGTCACAACAATTAACTTATGCTCATGTATGCAATCATCTAGATCCTTATGCATTTACAATTGATCATCGAAGTATTCGTATTATTCAAGCTATTGAAAATATTCTTAAACATCAATAGACATTAATTATTTATTTGATTTTATATCATTTACAGATACAGTAATCAAGAAAAATAATAATAGCAGTTTTTGTAGCACATTGGAGAAAATAGTTATTAGCTAAAGGAAAAAGAAATCTATATCTGTTCCACAGAAATTTTGCTCATAAATATGCGATGTGGGCATAATCAGGAACATAATTGTACCATACATTCTTACTTTTAATGATTCAGCAAATAAAAAAAACTTAGTCTTTTTATTTCTTCATAATTCTACATTGAATAGAAATAATAAATTTATAATAGACTGATATCTATTTAGTCTTTTCAGTGTTCAGTCGCATTTTAGTTTTCGCTACACAATGATAGGCTTAGCAATCAAGTTTTCTATGACTATGATCTTCTAATACATGATAAAGTTACAAGATATGATTCGATGAGAAACATTTTTGTTAAACCCAGAGTAGTAATTAACCTTTTCACAGCAAGAGTACATATATGTACCATTTTCTTTCTCTTTATTTTTATCTTCATATCTACGGTTGTGGCAGTTCTAGTATCAGTTTCGTGAGCGGCAACTGACACATCAAATTCCATTTCTACTGAAAGAAGCCGATCACCAACTTACGTGAATAGGAGGAGCTACGGCTAACCATCAGCTCAGTTCAATAGTATCTGTAACTGCTTACCAATTCTTTATTTCACATATCACAGGTGATGAGCTTGAACAGTCACATTCTTAGCCCACACTCTCATTCAATCAAAATTCACCAGTGAGAGTTAAAATATACTGCACGAAAATCAAAGAATTGATCGCTAGCACTCTGTTACTCATAATCAGCTAAGTTGTTTACGTACTACCACCGTAGCGGAAAAAATGTCATGGGAGCTTGCTTCGTTTAAGTCAACTGTAAGTCAGTTGGCACATACGCTGATAGGAGTTCAAATTTTTCAAGTGGGGGCACGCCTATTCAAAGGAGATGTTGCTAAATTAACTCTGGGTACGCCTCAACTATAAAAATATATGGTTTGAAATGCAACAGACCAGTTCGAGAATTCCACTCTTAAATAAACAATAGTATGTGAAATAAAAAGCGATAAAATGATTCATATATCAACGCAGCATTCGACACCATATCGTTCTACTTCTATTTTTAATGGCAGAAACGTGCATTAATCATTTTGTGTTACACTACAAAAAATAGTCTAACAACTTTTGACGATTTATGTGCAATCAATGATTAGAAGAATTTTCATCTATATTTTCTCTTAGTCACAAAAGTTGTATTTGTAAAGATAGCTGTGTTGTTCTTTAACTGTTCAAGCGTCATACGTATTGCGGAATTGACTGTTCATATATTAAATCGATATAGACGGACAATTCGGTCACGTACTCTTTCTCTATATAACGAATAATTATTACGTCAAACAGCTGTTGTCAGTGACCGCAACATAATGAAGAGGAAAAAAAAATGACCGTCTGCAACATAATATATAAGGGCAGTCATAAAAAAGAAATGACATTTCTCATCTTCATTCAATTTATAGCAATGATCAGTCTCTTTGACCAACTGCCTGATTTAACATTACTCGAAATATTTTCTTATCTATCTTGTGCTGATGCTTTATGGTCATTTTCTAAACTCAATTCGCGTCTGACAACATTGTTAACAGAGCGAGGTTTTTATCGTCATGTTAATTTATCATCAACTGGTAAAAAACAATTCGAAACAATTTTTTCAACACTTCGATTAAATGAAATACAATCACTTGTCATTGATCGTTGCACGTCACCTCTTCAACTAAAAAGATGGCTTCATTTACCACATTTGACAGCATTACGATTACAAGGTGTACGCAATTTTAGGGAGGTTTTCAAATTGGCAAAAAAACATTCACAAACATTGACTCATCTTACAGTTGAATCAAGTCGATACTTTTATACAGTAAGTGCATGAAAATCAAGAGAACTTTAAGAAAAAATAAAAACCATTGATGATCAGTTGCTACACAGAATAGTACAGTAGGAAATGCTGCTCTCACCAATTTTTAGAACTTCACTCTTCGAACTGCACTAATGTTTTGTAGCGAAGCATGCCTTGGAAAAAACACAATTAGTTAAGATTTTTTGTTTTCATTAAAATCAATCAGTTAGAATCAACTGTGGAATAACATTTAAACGATATAGTAACACGTATCTGCAATATGAGTCAATGTAGAAGTTTCAAAATGAAAAGTAAATCTTTCTCGTGTATTTACTTGTTTAATAGTATCCATTTATGAGAAGTATATTTTTATCCGGATAAATATTACACAAGCTCATTCTTTTATAGGATTTTGTCTCGACACAAAATTTTTATGAAGATGTTTGATTAAAGAAGGAGAATTTTTCAATTATCAATTAATATTAAAAGTATTTTACGATTTATTTTATGTAGGGTGGTATAACAAAAAGTATGGCTTATCCATCATGGAACATGTGTCAATTTCTCGAAAGAACACTTTGTTGTTTGCCTAATCTTCAATCACTTGATTTAGGAATGGAAACATCTTTTGTTTTATACAAGTGGCCTTTCAAAGCGATAGAAGCACCCTTAACCTATCTAAAAATTTCATTGGGTGGGACGCATTTTTTGATTGATATATTTTCAACGAAACCGTTATCATATACTTTAAAGCAACTACATATAAAAATTAGGGATCTTTGTGGTGATTTTGATTTTTCTTTACGTAATAAAGGCCTTTTACATCGAATGGAATCTTTACATACATTTACTTTTATTAAATCATTTAAATGCTATTCAAATGAGGAATGGAAATTTGTTAATGTATTGACAAATTCTGATATTATGCCTGTTTTACGACGAATAAATTTTTCTGTTTTTATCGATGCCAATGATCTGGTTCAGATGACTCATTCAAATCTCTTTGTTGACGATCGTCATATTGATGTTCATTATGTTTTTATGATTAGTGATGATCGACAACATTCTGAACTTGATGAATATGTGCCACATGGTAGTTTATCACATCCTCGTCAAATAGCTAGTGTAACATTTATTTCTGAATGTTGGCCTGTTGATTCAATGATGCATAATCGTGATGAAATTTATGTAAGTATTTACTTTGTAAATTTGGAAGTTGTTTTGATAAGTAAATATTCTTTCAATGAATGTAATTAATGTTTTAGTTAGACAAACCTAGAAATCGACAACATATATTCTATACTCTGCCATGGGCTTTTAATGAATTTTTTCCATTATGTGTTCCAGATGGATATATTAATGAATTGGAAGTTTTTACATCGACTTCTCCAGTTAATAGAGTTGGTTCATCACATGTTCGAAAATTCAGTATATCAAATAATTTTCCGTCATTGGCTACTTCTTTTCCTCACATAATGTCTTCGAACAAAGTAGTTGAACTGCACTTATCACGATGTGATAGAGAATTACCTGTAAATTTACCAATTTTTGATCATCTCATTATTACAGATAGTCTTGACTTATTGAATAAGTGTTGTTTTTCAAGAAATATTCGATCAATTCAAATTACTCTTAATCAAGAATATATTCATTTGGCAAGAAATGATTGGAATGATTTGCCGATTCTCTCTACGTTACCATTTTTGAACTCTTTACGCATACTTTTATATGATATGAATGTTCCACCAAATGATATAAGTCGCCATATCATCGTAGAAACAATATCAAATATGTCTGACTTTTGCTTTTGTTTTCGGCGTAAATGTTACCAAAGTCGTCGAAATTTTGAATCGGCCCATACTATGCAGGCTATATTCATTACACAATTGCGGAATGATATTCTTGCTTTACCATTGAATGAAAAACCTAGAATTGTTGTTGAAAAGGGTGGCTATGGGCTTATTGCATGGCTTTGATTAATGAATAAAAACAAAATTTATTGTAATAGTTTTGTTCAATAAAAGAATTGCTTCACTTGCTTTAATTTTTTAATGAAAATCAATCGGTTAGAGAAAGTTTTATTAACCCCCCCCCCATAATAGAAGCCCCCTCTGAGATGAGCAACATGTTTGACGTATTAGAAGCCCCTGATTTTTCCAAAAAAATTTTACAAATTTTCGAGATCTTTTTTCGAATTTTCATCCTAAAACTGTGTTAGAGAGCACTCTAACATACATCTTTTTTTTTTATTTCTTATTCTTTTCTTCAACTTGTGTGTATACATCATCATTTGGATATACTTTATTCACTGTACGTACATTAATCGATAAATCTTTCCTTTTCTTCTCTTCTATCTCTCTCCCTCTTTGTCTTCTACTTTCCTATCCGGCCGTGACAATTTCAACATATTCTCAGTCTTTTCTTCTATTCTAAATTAAGGGTATTTTTTAAAAGATGTTGGTCGTCATCTTTATTATATAAAACGGTCGAGGCTGGAGTCGAACATACATATTCATCTCTCCTTGTGTTTTACTTGTATCTCGCTCTCTAATGTGTTAATATATATGTGTGTGGAAAAAAAAGAATGGAATTTCATCGTTGTTGCTGTCGTTATTCATCATTCATCATATTTATTGTTATATAGGGAGGAAAAAAAAAAGATTGTTATAGTAGTAGAAGAACATAAGTTGAATAAAGTATTGAATCGCCTGAACCGAACCAAAGAAGATTTTAACGAAAATAAATCTTCGTTACAAAGCTAGGGCTTTGTAACAAACTGCTAAAATTTTTCGATTTTAAGGTAAAAAATTGGCTGACTCCTATCCAGCTGTGCTGACATCTGGAAATACCGTCAAAAATCTTCTGGAAAACTCATAAAAACCTTGAAAATCTCTAAAAACCTTTCAAACCATTTTTGCTGTCACAATCTATTGAATTTTTTTGGGACTTAATAGAAGCCCCCTCCGAAAACTTCAGACGGTTGACATATTAGAAGCCCCGGGGACAAGGGGGAAAAAGCGGATCCTGGTGGATCCTAGGATCCATGAGGATCCATGAGAATCCATTAGGATCTATGAGGATCCAAAAAACCCATTAAAGTTAGCAGTATAGATCAATGCTCTAAATATCGATAAAAGCAAGAAAATCAATGAGACGTATAAAATAAGGATATATAAATAAAAATCTTTTGTGGATGAATCAACGTGATGATCATGTGTGATTGATACAACTCAGACTGCTACAATTTACAAAGAAAAAGGGATCCGAATGCACATCCCACGATCCATTAGGATCCACGCAGAGCCATTAGAGTTCTTGGAAGCGAAACAGACGAAGAGGTAGTTCCGGAATTTCTGACGAAGAAGGAAACTTTGAAACTGAGATTCTGGTGAGCAGCAATTAATTTTGAGATATTTCAATGAATTCTGCAGTTTATAGAATTCAATAGAATTCATGAATATTCAAGTTTTCCAGATTGATCTCAAACTATTACGAAGCTCCTTGACTTCTGCTGAATTCTTATTGCCTTTCACAGATGGTAACAGACAACGTTGAGCTTTTGCCAGAGAAAATCGTACATGTTTTTAAACTAGTTCTCTGATATATACAGCAGGGATCCTGCATATGTTCACCCTTTTTTTCTTGTGAAAATTAGAAATTCTGAAAAAACTTGTACTCATCGCATTTTAACATGCGGACAGAACTTGAATCGAAGTCCGATCAAGATCATAAATAGTTTGTTACTGTTTTCCGGCCATCCACAGACCAAGAAGCCGCTAAACGTTGAGAAAATCGTGTAGCTACGGAACTTCAAGAACTCGATTAAACTTACAACAAAATTCTCTTAGGATCGTGAGCAGTTTACCGATGCAATTCAAACCAAAAATGTGCTAATACGGCGGTAAATCCTTACAAAAACTTGTACGCATAAAAAAAAAATCTTTTAAGATTAGAACAAGATATCAGAGTCATTCTAAGCCTGCTCGCGTAGGTTTTTTGTCAAGATCTTGCTGACATTTTAATAATTTCTGAGCAGGAAAATATTTCCTGATGTTGCATAGCAGAACTCCACTACAATTCGTGAGGAATGTTATCCAATGTCTTGGCAAGATCTGTGCCGGGTTCTCTAAGGGAAGAGAGGAAAAAAGGGAGCATCCAACGTTGATCTCTAGATCTTGGGTTCAAAAGCTGATTAGTTTCCCGCCGTAGGCTGTACCAAGTTGTTTAATTTAACTTAAACCTTCAATATCCTCTCTTAACTATTAATTATTATTTGAACTTCACGTAAACTTAAATTATTCCTAGAAAAATTCAAAAAATTTAATGTTAGACTTAATATGTTGATTATTTATTTTGAGATTCGACAGTAAGTTGTTGATTTCAATTTGAGTAAAGCAGTATTTTTCTGTTTTTTTTTCAATACGAATAAATTGAATCCAATGAGAGTTTTATTAGAGGATTCGTCTCTTACTGAAAACGTCTTTGTAAAGACAAAATTAATGCAACACTTGATCTGATACTCAAGCATTCATTTCAATAGATTTTCTAGTTTCAGGCGAAAATAAAATTCATATTCTAACTGAGTTCCTAGCTATGAATGTGATATAATATAGAATACAAATTTTGAAAAGGTTTGAAGAAAAATCCTTAAAAATTTTTCCCAAATGTGATTTCTGTCAGAGTCAAGACAAAACACATAATAAAATTTGGAGTGGTTTTTCAGTTTTTTTTCTGCTAACATTTGATTTAAGATACACAATGTAATTTTTCGGAATTCAAATAGCCAAAAATATTCAAAAAAATCTTAAATACGAACTAGTCACAATTTTTCTGTAACATCTTCATAATTCCTTTTAAAATGTTTAATTACATTTGTCATAAATCATGTAAGAATCCTGAAGGTCGAGGTCTCAGTAAACTTGAAATGAAAACTACAAAGATCTTCGTTGAGCCTCGGTATTTTTTCAGATAGATCCTGACGATTCTTGTCCTTCTTTAGGAAGGACCTGGAATACTTGTCCTTGATATAATATTAAGAGAACCTTGGAAAGGCTCAGAAGAGATATTCGTACTAGAAATGCCTGAGAAAATGAAGTAGAATTATAATTGGATTTGAACAAGACTTACAAGATGACAATTCTTAGTGCTCTTGCATGATTCTTTGTAGGATCTTTGCCTAATATAGTCGTAAGATCTAAAAAAAAATCATACCTAGGGAACTACAAAGTGGTTCCGAGCCTGCAGGACCTATTTTGGTATCAAAACATTTTTTTTTTCGTGACTGAGACTGAAACTATTTTTAGCTGTTCACGAAAAATTATTTTGAATAAAAATTAGACATCAACTGTCTCTTGAAGTCAATTAATGGCTAATCATTTTTTGATTATTTCATTAAAAAAAGACTGATGTTTTCAAATATTTCCTAATGTTAGCACGTTTATAATATTCACATATGCACAAATAATAGACTATTTAGACGAGCTCTAAGATCAGATCTAAAATTTTACGCGTGACACGACCTACACTTCTGTGCCACACCGAAACAGGTGTCGTAAAGGTTCTTTTATATTCACCCTCACGAAAACAGGACCGGAATGGGACTGCAACAAAAAATATTAGTCACGATCGAAACCAAAAAACCGTGGTCCTGCAGTTCCCTTATCATATCGCAGAGATACAAAACAGATCCCAGTAAAACATGGATAAAATCTAATAGCGTTCATCATGCAATTTTTGTCAAGATCTTGAGCAAGATCGAGTGTGAATCCTAGTAGGACTCTTATTTATTGAATAATAGAAGAGTCTGACAAAGAAATTTAAAAGTCACTGAGAAAAATCCCTCTTTCACAATGAGCTAATCTGCAAACAGATATTATTAAACTCAGAAACAGAATCCTGAGTAAAATATGACAGCAATCCATTAGAGAAAATCAAAATGCAGCAAAAACCAATAAGCAACACAATAATATGAAATTGATAGACAAATGGTAGATCCGAATGGATTCTAAAAATAAACAGAATCCAAGATGATATAACAAAAGTTATTGAGACACATGAGTGCCTCAATGTTCAGAATTTTCTTTCTTTACTTAGTCACAAATTCTGAAGTCATTAACTCCTTTTTTCATTTATTTCTGTTGGACCTTAATGGATCATCGCCTTCATGAGAATTAGTTTCATCCACCCACACTCTAGTACACTTCAAACGATAAATCCTAACATTCATCAGACTCCATTAGGATCCATTAGGATCTATCAGAATCCATCAGGATTCATCAGGATCTATCAGGATCCATGAGGATCCATGAGGATCCCTAAGGATCCACTAGGATCCGTGAGGATCCACAGGATCCGCAGGATCCATCAGGATCCGCTTTTTCCCCCTTGTCAAAAGGTGTCCATTGGATAGAGACCATCGAGATCTACTTGGAACCAGCGTTAGTTTTGTTGGAATCGGTCAATGGCCGAATCATGACAGGCTTTCCGGGAGAAAAGCCTTGCTTCTAGCCTTGTGGGCTGATTCCTCAGTGATGGGTGCGTCGATTTGAGCTCGAAAGGTGTCCATTGGATAGAGCTCATCGAGATCTACTTGGAACGAGTGTTAGTTTTGTTGGAATCGGTCTTTGGGCGGATCGTGACAGGTTTTCCGGGAGAAAAGCCCTGTTCTTGGCCTTGTTGGCCGATTCCTAAGCGATCAGTGATCAATTTGTGCTCAAAAAGTGTCCATTGGATAGAGGTCATCGAGATCTACTTGAAACCAGCGTTAGTTTTATTGGAATCGGTCAGTCGCCGAATCATGCCAGGCTTTCCGGGAGAAAAGGCTTGTGTCGAGCCTTGTGGGCTGATTCCTCAGTGATGGGTGCGTCGATTTGAGCTCGAAAGGTGTCCATTGGATAGAGCGCATCGAGATCTACTTGGAACCAGTGTTAGTTTTGTTGGAATCGGTCAGCGGCCGAATCGTGACTGGTTTTCCGGA